CCCCATCCCCACACCCCTCCAGCCCCTGCCCAGCTCCCGGGCACTCACGGTGCAGGACGGCTGCATCCAGGGCTCCCCATCCACCTGCATGGGCAGCAGCTTGGACGTCCTGCAAGGCACAAAGGAGAGCCGGGGGTGACCCAGGGGTCGGGTTTCACTGTGGGCCAGGCCCTCGGCTGTGACAATACCTGATGATGACAGARGAGCACTGAGCCAGTCTCTTCCCCGCGCTCTTCAGCCCCGTGTAGATCTGCCCCATCTCCATGGCGCCTTCCAGCCCCACCACCTCCAGCAGGTGATCGCTGAGGTCTGCAAGAGAGACCGCCTTGAGAGGGGTCTGAGCTGGTGCCCCATCCCCAGGGACACCCCTGCTGTCACACCATACCCCAGGGCTGCTGGCTGTGCTGAGGCTGAGCGGGACTGGTGGCTCTGCAGGGATTTATTCCAATGTCCTCTGTGCCCCAAGACCACCCGTCTGAGTGTTTACAGCCCTGGGCAATGCTGCCATCCAAAATCTTGGGAGCAAAAGTGCTCCTGATCTGAGACAGCCCCTGGGCCTGCACGCCTGCAAGGTGCCAACCCAGACCTCCACCAGCCTGACTGCAGTGCATGAAATGGTGAGGCCCCTACCCTGGGTGCTATGGGGGGCTGCAGCTGTGTGGCAGAATCCCCCCTGTGAGCAGTCTGGTCAAATCCCAGATTGGGATGTCAGGGATGTCCCCTCTTTTCACAGCTCAGCCTGCTCTTCTGGACTGTCAGCAAGGCACAATTCTGCTTCCAGGTCCCCTCTCTCACACCTCTGAGAAGCCCTCCAAGCCTCCCAGGCCCTCTCACCCACCCACGAGCGGGGATGTCCCCAGGGTACCAACCCTGCTGTCCCTGCAGTCCCTTTGGGATGGCCTGAGCTCTGTCCCACTCCCTGCTGCCCCTGGCTCCCGCAGTGACAGTGACACTCCAGGATGTGACACTGCTGATGTGACAGCCACATGCCGGGGGGACTGCTGCCTGGGAAACCCACACCTTGCCTGAGTTCTGGCTGCTTCCCACCCCGCTGCTCCCCACTGGGGGACGCTGCCAGCACTTGGGGCTGTCCCTGTCCCCTGCCCCGCGGGGATGGCTCTGGTGGCTGCAGCAGTGGCTGCGAGGTGCCAGCCGCTTCCAAACCCCACATCCAGCCTGGCAAGACGCTTACAAAAACCCTGCAGCTGGGTTCCAGCCCCTCCTCTGCCTAGTGTAGGTAGGGAGAAAAAACCCCAAAAGACACGGAGCCCCTCTGGCAGTGCTCCAGCAATGGTGTGTGCCCGGTGCCCCCGAGCCAACSCCCCGCTCCCCCCTCACCCAGCACTCACCCTGCACGCAGAATTTCAGCTCCTTGGCATCGGTGACCACGGTGCCAGGCACCTTCTCGGGCACCTTCTTGCCCAGCCGGCTGTAGCCRCGCTGCTTCTTGGTCTCGCCCCACAGGTTGGAGCCGCCGTACATGCTGGGGATGTTGAGCACGGCGATGCCCTCCAGGGAGGTGTTGCTCAGGTCCAGCAGGGTCCCATCGCACTGCCGGGCACACGGKGGGGTCAGGGGGGTGGCAGGGGGGCTGTGCCCATCTCCACGGGGTCCAGCCTCCTCTCCCATCACAGGAGGGCGGGTCCCTGAGCTGGCACCGGATGGGCAGCCCCAGGGTGAGGTGTGGAAACCGTCCCATTTTGCTTTCCTCGAGGGATTGTCAGCTCCTTGTGCTCACCCTCCTCGTGCTCACACTCTATTTCCATGGGAGTTTTACTACAGGTCCAAAATGGCAGTTTCAAAAGAGCAAATTCCTGGGGGAACCACATAAAGCCCTGTCTAGACTCGGTGCTGTGACCCAAAATAGGAGGCAACACCACCTTGGCCCTAAAGAGACTTCCACCCRAGGAGCTCCAGCATGTGCTTCCCTCCCTCTCCTTGTCCAAACTGACTCCAAAGGCCTGGAAAGTCTGGTTGCCTGAAAAGTAGCTCAGACCAGTTTGTCTTCAAGTGTCATTTGGAAACTAGAAATAAAAAAATTAGGGGAAAGGTATCAAAAATGTCAGCTTTTGGAGAGCAAACCACAGGACCCCAGGCTTTGCTGTCATGCAGCAGGACTGCCTCAGCTGAAAAATCTCTGTAAAAGTTAAAATATCCATTCCCAGCAGCTTTCCCACAGGATTGAAAGCAACAGCCATGGAAATGCATTTCCTAACTTCAGGTCTTCTCACGCTACCCAGACATCGATCCCCTTGCTCGACACCTCTATTAAGCAGCCAATTTTCCATCCAATTGGAATTTCTCTAAAATAGCATTCCTATTTTCCTTGAGGCATCTGCTGTTTACCTGTCACTCTGTGCTCCTGCAAATCCTACCACAGCTTTTTCCTTGCATTTTGGTGATGCAAAGGCCTCTCTGCCCTCACTCGCTGTGCTGAGAGGGATGAAATGGGCTAACAAGCCCCTGCTGCTGCTCCAATTCTGGTTGCTCTCCTCTAAAAAAGGTCTGGAGCTTATTTTTCCCACCCCCTCGGCCAGGGCTGAGGACACCAAGCCCATGCATGTGGAGCTGGGCGCTCACACGAGCGAACGCCTCGGTGTGTCAGATCCTTCCTGCCTCCCCTGGTGCTGCAGGATCTTATTTTTAGCCTCACACTGAAAGCAAAAAGCAGGAATCTTCTGGTTTGGGAGGGAAGAGCTGTCTCTCCAAGGCTCGGGAAGGATATTAATCCTTTCATTCTCGGCACATCTTAATGGTATCGTGATTTGTTGGAAAAGGACTCAGTGCTCTGGGTGCTAAGGGAGAGGGGGCTCCRGTTCCTTGTGGGATGGACAGCACACCCCAAAGCATCATCCCCGGCCACGGGCACTTCTCCCACAGCGGGTACCAGCCCAGCAGGATGCAGGGATGCTGCAGGAGCCTGTGCTGCCCACGCCAGCCCGGAGCCGCGGGCAGGAGCCGTTCTCTCTCCCTGCAGAGCCCTCCCCGCTCCGTGCCAGAGAGCTACAATGGGCCCTTTGAGCAGGGGCAGCTGACGGCGCGCTGGCAGAGAGGCTGGAAGGAGAAATTTGCAGCTGGGGGAAAAAGCAAATTCATTTCCAGGAGTTGTAGGGGGAACGAGTGCCAATTTCCAAAACAAAACTGCTATTTCTCTTCAAGGCTGACAGTTGCCTGGGAGCTGGAGGGAGGACAGGCGGCTGCTTTCAACTCCAAATGCTGCGGGATTAACGCCTTCCTGCCCATGGGCTCAGCTGGTGGGGACAAACACTTTGAAGGGGCACCCCAAAAAGGAATGGGGGTGCTCCTCGTGCCCATCTCCAGCAGCACTCAACTCCACAGACATGGACTTCATCCACCCAGGGCACTGCTGCACRGATGGGGAACGGGGTGAGGAGGTTGTGACACGGGTCCTGCCCCTTCCCACGACTTTCCAAGGGTGAAGCCACCCACCCCAGGCTTTGGGAAGGGAAGAAAGGAAGGAACATCGAGGAACAGGCATCGAAATTCCCGTGCTTGTAGCCACCCATCTGCAGGGCCAGCTCTCAGCCCTCTGCCCACCCCCAGCACCCCTGCCCTGATTCCCACTGCCTCGTGCAGCAAGTGCTGTTTTCCTCCCTCACCCAGCCCAAGTTATAAAAGGGTGGATGATCCAGAGATAGGGAGAGACGGAAGTTTACAGCCCAAATCCCCAGCGCCAGCGCGGAGAAGTGACAGCGCTCTTAGCAACCGCGGGCCCTCCTCTCCCAGCTCTAATTAAAGGCTGTTTCCATGTCATCCAATGAGGGCCGCCAGCAGCACGGAATTCATGGAGAGAATATTCCAGGCATGCTCTCAAATACAGCTGGAAGTGGGAATACAGGGTTATTCTGCCCACAGCTTTGCAGGAGGAGCTGCGTGGTGGARCAGGGGCTCCTGCCACAGTGAGGGGTCAAAGCCATGGTGGCACTTCTTCCCAAAGAGCTAAAAGCCTGGATCAGGAGGGATCCACAGGCAACGGCTCCAAAAAGCCTTTGTGCCATGGCTGGAGCCGGGAACCATCCCAGGAAACTCACCTCAACCTCAACATAGTCATGGAGCTTCTTGCACGTGGCTGCGAAGGTCTCGGACGTCCCGAACTCAAAGTACCACAGCTTGTTCTTCATCCTGGGGCAAAGACATGTGTGAGCATCCCACCTGGATCAGACACACCACCATCCCACCTGGATCAGACACACCACCATCCCACCTGGATCAGACATGCCAGCATCCCACCTGGATCAGACACACCACCATCCCACCTGGATCAGACATGTCAGCATCCCACCTGGATCAGACATGTCAGAATCCCACCTGGATCAGACACACCACCATCCCACCTGGATCAGACATGCCAGCATCCCACCTGGATCAGACATGTCAGAATCCCACCTGGATCAGACACACCACCATCCCACCTGGATCAGACATGTCAGCATCCCACCTGGATCAGTGCCCTGCACCAGTGGCAGGGTGGGCTGCCAGAGGTTGGGGACATGAGCTGTGGGTGAGGACAGAAGCCACCATGGAAAGGGAACACTGGCATCCTCGCCCTCAGGAGTTGTGTGGGGGGACGTAGGGTGTGTCTGGAGGTTGGGGGACTCGAGCAGAGCTGGCTCTGACACCCAGCCCACCCCATGGGATGAGCTGCCAAGAGACAGGACACCCTACAGAGGGGATGTCCCACAGCTCAGCACCCTCCTGGCATCCTGAGCCCCTGACCATGGCTCATTCCTGCTGTGCCARGCTTTGAGGGGCAGGCAGGCTTAAGCTGGGAGAGGCTGTCAACACAGAGGAGCTGAGCTGGAGGGCAGAGCCAGACACTTTGGTCCACTCGGGATTTTTCCAGCAGGTATTTCTAAACCTGAGGATGGGGCTCCTGCTTCCATGCCCCATTTCCTGCACCCTGAGCACAGCAGGACGAGCTGTGACCTGCTGCCAGCCCTGCCCTCRCTGCCTGGCCTGCTCCTGCCCGTCCTGGAATTCCACACTGATTATAAAGCATGAATGAACGGAACTGGGTGTGGGGCCAAGCTTGAGCAGCCTGCCACACCACATGGGACTGGAAGAAGCATCCCAAACCCACCCCACTCCTGATCCTGGACCCCAACCACGCTTGGTACATGCTCTGCCTGTCCCCTAAGGCTGGCCAAACACCAAATCCCGTTGTCACAGTGCATGGCAGTGCCAGGGTGTCCCCACACACCCAGTTCTTGGGGGGCCCTGGGAACAGCCCTTACCTGCTGTTGAATTTCTCAGGGTGCTTTTCTCGCATGATGTGGAAGCGGTGGGCGATGGAGGCGTCCTGTGGGGGGTGGGAGCACAGGGACATCAACGGCAGAGAAACAGAGCCCCCATGGCACGATGACACGGTGTGGGGCCATGCCAAGGCCACTGAGGGACCCTCTCCCCAGAGCTTGTTAACTGAGACATAATTAGTGCACTAATTATTCCACTCCTTCCCTCATCTACAGCTATAGCTCGCACTGCAAGGATTTGCTCKCAGAGTGGAAATCACAGGTTCGATTCACGCTTTGAACTCTGGGCTAGGAGTGTTCTTATCTCTGCTGCTTTTTCCACTTATAATCAGAACATGGAGTGTGTGTCTTCCACTGAAAGCCCACAGCCACCTCACAATTCCCCGTTAAATTTATTGTTAAAACATTGGTGAACTCTAACGGGGAAAAGAACCCCTCTTGACAGGGGAGAGTCAACAAGGCTGTCGATGGGGGTGTGGCCAGTTAAAAAGGGAGTTAAAGGGAGAGTGAAGTGGCTTCGCTTTGGCAGCCTAGAAAATGAATGAATGAATAAATAAATAAATAAAATAAATATAAATAAATAAATTTAAAATCATGGAGTTATTACTAGAACTTCGGGCCCAGGGTGGATTTGAAGAGTTGTTTGCTGTGTTTCTGAATTGGGAGGAAGTGAACAAACAACCAAAAAAGGGCTGTTTTGGGAGCCCCAGGGGCTCTGCATGGAGGGGATGATGAGAGGGGAGGGAAGGCAGGCAGTGGAGCAGTGGGGCTCTGGGGACACCACAAAACCCTGCACCCTGACACCACCCCTGGCAGGATGGCAGCAAACCTGAAACTCATCACAACCTCTCCTCGTGCAGAGTGGGTGTTTGAGCCCAACTGAGAAGCTGTCCCCAAATGTCACCTGCAGTGACAGCCCCTGGCATTCACARGAGCCCATGTGAGCCCCAAAGCATCCTGTGGTGCTGCAGGTGRGTGGCTGTRCCATKGTGGCACCCCTGGCAYGGGATAAAAATGCAACAAGCTCCCAGGAAGAGAAGGCCTTTCCTCAAATTCCTCCTGCTTTCAGGACTGACCCAGCACCGGGAGTAACACCAGGGCTGTCAGCCTCCCTGAGCTCCCAACCTCTCTAGATCAGGAAAACATGGGGGAACATGGATTCAAACACCAAAGCAGGGCTCTGCTGAATGTGTGCTGTCTTGGCAGGTGGGGTGTCCTTGTTTCTGGGACCCCAAACTTCCCTGTACCCTGTTTAAGCTCCTCTCACACTCAGTCTTGCAACATTCCCTGGCAAGGGAGAGATCACATGCCTGCTTTTGTGCCTAAGTGCTGCCTTCCACAATGAAGTGAAAAAATAAAATAAAACCAGAAAAACAAGGCCAGGAGATGGAGGGAGGCTGGGACCGTGAGCAAGGAGGAACAGGAAGGGAGAAAGCAGCTCCTGTCCCGGGGAACTCACCACCCCGATGGAGAAGTAGTTGTTGATGATGGTGGATGGGACGGGATCCCCGTTGGCCTCYTTGTCACTGGGAATGACATCTATATGCCAGCGGTCCAGCATCACCTCCGTGCTGTGCTCTATGTCCTTCAGGACCTTCATCAGGTTGCCTCCTTCGTAGCCTGGAAGGGAAAGAGGGTGAAGGAGGATGAAGGGAAGCACAGCCATGTCCCAGCCAGGTGCCAAGCCCTTGGGGAATGCCAAGGCTGCTGCTATGGCACGTTCTTGCAGATTCTTGAGATTTTGGGTAATGGCAGGGCTCTCYAAATGGAAAAGGTTGGGCAGAATCTGCCTGTGGGGGGTTAGGAAAGCAGCAGCTGCTCTGTTTGGAAGGAGTTAGAGGCACCAGAGACACAGCTCTGAACTGCACCCCAGGAGCCCAGGAATCCTCCCTCCYTTGGGATGGCACCCACCCAGCCACATTGAGGGTTCCCAAGGGCCRGCCACCCCTGGGTGATGCTCGCCCKTCCTCACCTCCTCCCCAGCGCAGGCACCGTGCCAGGTCATTGCCCGTCCCCAGGGGCAGGACAGCCACCGGCGGGTGCTTCACCAGGTTTGCCTTATCTGCGGTTCAAGAGAGAAATTTGGGGCTGACAAGGCAGGACCACCTTCCCCCTTTCACTGGGGGAATATTTGGGATCTTCAGCAGATTCCTGAGGATGCAGGTGCACCATACTCAAGCTGTCCCTTGCTCACCKATGCAGTCCAGGATCCAGCCCACGGTGCCGTCCCCTCCGCAGGCCAGCACGCGGAAATCCGGAGTGTCCCGGAAGAAGTTGAGCCTGGAGAAAGCCAGGAGAGACAAGGGGTGGCATGGGGGAGCAGGGGCTGGCAGGACAGGGCGGAGGATCCCCTGCAGCAATGCCGTACCCTGGCGCGGGCCCGCCGCGATCCAGGTTGTACACTTGGCGTGGGTTGAGCAGGTAGTGGAACTTCCGGAGGACCCTGGGGAGGGAGAGATGTGAGGAATGCCGTGAAGGCGAGTCCCACACTGGGAATGATGCCCCAGGGACCAGCAGACTCCACCCCAGGCCCCACCTACCGTTCCCCTTGCCTTCCTCCACTCTTGGGGTTCACAAACACCAGGAGTGGGTGCGTCCCAGGCTGAGGGTTGATCTGGAGGGCAGAAGATGCAGCTCTGAGTTCCTGCCCACCCTCGAGGGCAGGGCTCACCCACAGCCCCGTCCAGGAACCCACCTGCAGCCCTTGCCCATCCACTGTGGTGGAGTTGAACTTGAAGCCCTGGCTGTCCTCGGGGCTGGTGCTGGCAGGGGAGTCGCTCTCTGATCGCCGGCAGTGGGACTGCCTGTCCTTTGGGGAACCAAGGAATGGATGCCCACCATGCCCAAAAGACAGCGCCCATGGCCAGGGGAGGCCTTGGCCATGCCCTGCTGGGTCCCTGTCACTGCAGGGAGGAGGGGACACTCACCAGGACACGGGGGGCACTCACCAGGACACGGGGGACACTCACCAGGACACGGGGGGCACTCACCAGGACAAGGGGGGCACTCACCAGGACACAGGGGACACCACCAGGATAGGGGGGTCACTTACCAGGACAACTGGGCAGATGCAGGATGGGAGCAAGATGTGATCCCGCAGCGGGCCCCCATCACACTCYGGCTTGACGTGGGAGGCACACTTGTTGTGGAGCTGGAGGGGCGGGAGGAGGGGATGTGGGACAGGGGATGGACACCTGCCACCTCCTGGACAGGAGCCCAGAGCCCGTCATGCAGCCCTGGCAGTGCCCCAGGGCCGTGCACTCACGGTGATTTGGCACCAGACGCAGTGCAGGCCGGTGATGCCCTGGTAGCACTTGATGCTCTTGTGACAGCGGTCGCACTTGGCGGGGGAATTGCCCTCGATCCACGTGTGCTGCATCACCTGCAAGGCACGGGGGACACTGAGGCACAGCAGCCACCRAGCCACAGCAGGCACCTCCCTCCTGCTAAGGGTGGCTGTGATTTCAGAAGCCTGTCCTGCAGGGATGCTGATCCAACCCAGCCCCTCACAATGGAGCCATGGAAATTTTGGAGAGACTGGGGATGGGGATGGGGATGGGGTGCATCCTGCAAGGCTGTGGGTGCCCATGAGCTGCTGCCCTGGGTGAGAGGGGCAAAACCCAGGGGAAGCAGAGCAGGAGACCACRGGGCCAGGAGAGAGCCGGCTCAGAAATGCAGCAGCTGCCCACTCACGCTCGTGTTTCTCTTGGATTTCACGTAGGTGCTGATGCAGGCAGCGATGTCTTTGGACACACACCTCTCGTGGACCGTGTACTTGCAGACTGGGGAGAAAGAAGAGTCACAGAGCCACAGAATCATTCAGGTTCAAAAAGCCCCTCAAAACCCTCCAGCCTCACTGTTACTCCAACTGACTCACCACTGACCCATGTCCCCCAGTGCCACCAAGAAGGGGGACACCRTCACTCCCCAGCACCCTGCAGCACCCACGGGGCTCAGCACCAACAGGGACCATTCCCCCCTCCCCTGGGCACTGGGTGTGGCACAGCCACCGCTCTGGGAGTGCCACATTCCAGCAGGGAGCCCRCACTCACAGGAGCAGCAGAGGCCCTGCTTGCGCACCCCCAGCAGCATGGTGCGGCAGAAGTTGCAGTAGGCGGGTTTCTTGAAGTGCTTCAGCCTCCAGGCGTGCTGCCCATCGTCCTTGACGTTCTGCAGGGCAGGAATGGGGGTGAGGGGTCACTCCCCCGCTCCCAGCCCCCTCAGCCCACCATTTCTATCAATGTTTCACACCCTAAGAACCCCAGGGTGTTTCTGGGATGTTGTTTCCAGCAGGATCAGGGCTCTCTCCCTATTCCCCTTCTCTCTGGTGCTCTCCAGAGCATACCAGCTGCCTCATCCCCCTGGGCACGTCCAGCTCCAGCTCCCTGGGACCCTTGGCACTGCACAGCCACAGGGAGGATCTTGGTGGCTGACAGGAAGGTGACTTCACACCTGGAGCTGAGCTGCCACCACCACCACCACGGGGTGACCAAAGCACAAACCTCTTACACCTGGGGCCAGCACAACTGCCTTGCAGGAGCCAGTTAAAATTCCTGGCTTTCCTGAATTTTTCTGCCAGAAAGCCTGTCCTCCACCCCCACCTCTGCATAGGAACCATGGGCACCAGGAGCAAAATCATCTTTCCCAGCAAATTACCTGATGGCCAGGGATGCACTTGAAAGAAACTAAGGCCAAAAGGATGGAAAACCAAGACAGAAATAAAAGGGGGGGGGGGGTCCCAACAATCCCAGTTTTGCTTTTTGAACCCCACTCTACAGGAGGACAAGCCATTTTAGGACTTAATCTCAGGTTTTGATTAAAAGTTCATTGAMCTGGAGCACACTGTGATAGCAGGGAGCAAGCCCAGCCTACTTGGGCACAGCAGCAGCTGCAGCTCAGAAATGAGCTTAGAAGAATTTGGGGGGTGAAGGGGGCAGGTGGGGGTGTCAGCAGGGGCTGGGGGTCAGTGTGGGGCCGTGAGGTGCCCTAGGGTGCAGGCTGGACCAGCCAGAGTGGGTCTGTCCCCGGACACTCACCGTCTCCATCCCCAGGAGCACCAGCAAGGGGATGGTGGTCATTCCCCCCCGGATCCACTCCTCCAGCGTCACCGTCCCRTCGTGGTTGTAATCGATCTCCTCCATCATAGCCTTCAGGATCTGGGGGAGGGACAAAGTGTGGTGACAATGCCACCCCAGGGCTGACAGCCCCTGCTCTGCCCCAGCTGCACTCACAGGCTTCAGCTCRGTGGAGTCCCACTCCAGGTACTCGGCCACGTGCACCATCTGGTTGATGATACGGTCCAGCTCCTAAACACAGAGAGCCCAATRTTGGGGACAGCTCCAGAAATGAACAGTGTCCAGCCCCAAGCCYCCAAAATCTGCATTCCCAAATTCTCAAGGCCACCCCAGTCCCCACCCACACAGGAGGGGCAGCACCACCCCAGTCCTCAGTGGGTGCTTTTCCCTTTCTGCCCTGAAACCCTGCAAGAAAATCTATAATGGGTTTGTCTTGGGAAAAACTATTCTSATAAACCAGATTTTATTTGCGACAGGTTTCAAGGACGATACCCAAAGAATAAAGAGAAAACATCATAGGGAAAGAAGGTGTGCATGATTTTTTTCTTCCCCGAAATACCGTGACCTGATGTAGAGCTACAATTCTGGGTGGGTGGATTTTTCTAGCTCCTGCTGGATGCAGCAGAGCTGGCATGTGATCCCCAGCTGCTGCCTTCCTCCTGCCTTTCCACCCGTATCCCTGCCCATTTTGGAGGGAATGGGCACCCCAACAGTGCCCTGCACGTTCCCAGCCCTCCRAGCAGCCCCGGGTTTCTCTCCCCAGGGGAGGCTCACCGAGCTGTCCAGGAGGCCGTTCCCATCGGTGTCGTAGAGGCGAAACATGACTGGAGGGAGGAGAGAAACTGCTGAATTAGAGCCCAGACCCGGGGCACCCTGCCCAGGCTGCTGGAGCTTCAGGGTGGGAGCAGCACGGGCTGAGGTGACCGCAGGGCTGTGGGGTGTCACCCCTTGCCTGGACACCGGTGACACAGGCAGGAGCACAAGGGGACATGGAGTGGTTTTCCTGAGTGGACAGGAGCACCTGACCCTGCACCCCTGAGCCTCTGGTCCCCACTCCACACAGCATCACCAGGGTCCCACTTACACTCCAGCTTGTCTTCTGCCCGTCCCCTCTCCAGCAGGGACAGGTAGCAGACGATGTCCTTGAGATGGACCACCTGGGCCAASGGGGTGGGAGGAGGAGGCGGGGTGGCTTTCAGGGAGCTGGCGTTTTTCCGCAGGCTGAAGGGTAACCTCTTCTCCACGCTCCTCGTGCCTGTGGGCAGGAGAGAGGCCATCCCCAGGGGTGACACTGGACCAGGAATTGTCCCCAGGTGGGACATGGGAACTTTGGGGCAGGGACACACTCAGCACGGGGCTGAGTGACACCACAGGGCCAGGGCTGAGGCACAGAGGGGACACAGGGATGGGAACCAAAAGGGCATTTGGGGCCGGGTGCCAACGCAAGCCTGGGGCTGGTGCCATCTGCAGGGCTGGGCGGTGTCACTCTCCCCGGGGCACAGACTCCCGCAGCTCCATCACTGCAGGTGGGTGGGGCATGGAAATGTGTCCAGCAGGAGTGAAGCTCAGTGGGCAGCTTGCCAGGGTGCCAGGACAGCCCACACTCGCTGACACCAGCCCTTCCCAGCGCTGCCCTCCTGGGGGGCTGGCAGGGGCTGGGGCAGGGGGCAGCAGTGACTGCAGCCCCATTTCCCCCTCCCCACAAGCTGCTGCCAGTTAATGAAGGCGCTGTCTGGGCTGGGATCGGTGGCTTCTTGCCAAACAAAGGTGCCAGGACACCGGCGAATTTGGGAGGTCACTGGAACTGGGCAGGGCTGGTGATGCTCCCTCACCTGGGGACTGAGGGCCGCGCAGGGACACGGAGGAGATCTTGGAGGAGCCYGAGGAGTTGTGCGCAGAGGCGGCGCCCGCGGTGGATTTCTGGGAGGATGATCTGGACCAGCTGGGGGAGGCGTTGGCGATGGATGCCGGGGTGAGGGATGCGGGCTGCGGCTCGGGGCCGCTGGGGCAGCTCTTGGGCTCGGCAGCGTGGCGGCCCAGGGCGCTCCGAAGGGTTTTCCCATTGATCCCTGCAAAGCAGACGGGTGCCCAGGGTGTCGGTGCCCCTTCCTCCGGGAACTGGGGCTGGGTGCTCGCCCTGGCTCCTCTCTGCTCTCTCCTCACCCTCCTGSCCGGCCCAGCAGCCCCAGCAGTGCTCCCACCCCCGGGTGAGGGACACCACAGCGCTCAGCACCGCACAGGGACGATGTGGGCTCCATCACCAGCCAGAGCCGAGCGCCGCGGGAGGGGCTCCCGTTCCTTTTGCAATTTATAATCCTTTCAGCAGATGTCTCCACGAGCCGTGAATCCACCCAGGAAGGGCTGGGGGAGGCAGAGCTGGCTGCCTGGCACACACATGCTCTGGGGTGGCTGTGACAGAGGCAAGGCCACCCCGATGTGCAGGGAGATGGTGACACGGCGTGACTCAGGCTCTGATCGTGCAGGGGAAAGGGCGTGTGCCACTGCATCCTAGAGAAATCCCTCCCTGGGGCAGCCCTGGGAGCCCATTCAATACCCACCCCAGGTGCCACCCTCAGCCTCCACTCCCGTGAGCAGCCCCCTGTGCCCCACTG